GCCTCTTCTATAAGTAGTGCTGGGAAAACTGGACAGCTACATGTAAAAGTATGAGATTAGAACACTCCCTAACACCATACACAAAAATAAACTCAAAATGGATTAAAGACCTAAATGTAAGGCCAGACACTATCAAACTCTTAGAGGAAAACATAGGCAGAACACTCTATGACATAAATCACAGCAAGATCCTTTTTGACCCACCTCGTAGAGAAATGGAAATGAAAAAATAAATAAACAAATGGGACCTAATGAAACTTAAAAGCTTTTTGCACACCAAAGGAAACCATAAACAAGACGAAAAGGCAACCCTCAAAATGGGAGAAAATATTTGCAAACAAAGTAACTGACAAAGGATTAATCTCCAAAATACATAAGCAGCTCCTGCAGCTCAATATCAAAAAAAACAAACAACCCAGTCCAAAAATGGGCAGAAGACCTAAATAGACATTTCTCCAAAGAAGATATACAGATCACCAAGAAACACATGAAAGGATGCTCAACATCACTAATCATTAGAGAAATGCAAATCAAAACTACAATGAGGTATCACCTCACACCGGTCAGAATGGCCACCATCAAAAAATCTATAAACAATCAATGCTGGAGAGGGTGTGGAGAAAAGGGAACCCTCTTGCACTGTTGGTGGGAATGTAAATTGATACAGCCACTATGGAGAGCAGTATGGAGGTTCATTAAAAAACTAAAAACAGAACTACCATATGACCCAGCAATCCCACTACTGGGCATATACCCTGGGAAAACCATAATTCAAAACGAGTCATGTACCACAATGTTCATTGCAGCTCTATTTACAATAGCCAGGACACGGAAGCAACCTAAGTGTCCATCGAGAGATGAATGGATAAAGAAGATATGGTACATATATACAATTGAATATTACTCAGCCATAAAAGGAACAAAATTGAGTTATTTGTAGTGAGGTGGATGGACCTAGAGTCTGTCATACAGAGTGAAGTAAGTCAGAAAGAGAAAAATACCGTATGCCAGCATATATATATGGAAACTAAAAAAAAGAAAAAAAAGGTTCTGAAGAACCTAGGGGCAGGACAGGAATAAAGATGCAGACGTAGAGAATGGACTTGAGGATATGCGGAGTGGGAAGGATAAGCTGGGACGACGTGAGAGATTGGCATGGACATATATACACTACCAAATGTAAAACAGCTAGTGGGAAGCAGCCACATAGCACAGGGAGATCAGCTCGGTGCTTTGTGACCACTTAGCGGGTGGATACGGAGGGTGGGAGGGAGACGCAAAGCGAGGAGATATGGGCATATATGTATATGTATAGCTGATTCACTTTCTTATGAAGCAGAAACTAACAAACCGTTGTAAAGCAATTATACCCCAAAAAAGACGTTAAAAAACAAAATTAGACTAGGTCCCTCACCACTGAGGTTTTATTTAAATCCAGTACACCAGCAAGATACTTAGCCATGATTAACTTATATTTATTAATTTATACTTACTGAGTTCCACATAGGAACAGTAAAGTAAAAAGTAATAAACTCAGCATCTAGAAATGCAGAATCAAATAACTGTAAGGGTAATATACCCCCAGAGGGTATTTGTGACTCTACAGCAGTCAGATGACCTTGAATAAGAAGGTCCTTAATGATTGAAATTTGTTCATTACAGAGGACTAGTCAAACCCCTATTGTAGTTTCTGCTGCTTATGAAAAAGGCCCACTAAAGTCACATGGGCATTAAGCCGATAGCAATCCTCTAGGGCACTGAAAGGCCAGATAGGGGTTGGTATTTGTCACCACCTCTTACTGAGCTGACTTAGAGATCAAAGATCAAAATGCCTCCTCTAAACTTCCCAGGATCTTGGAGGTACTACCCCGGGAGCAGTTTCCCTGGATTATATCTGCATATGACCACTTGTGGAAACAGCCCTGACAACCACCATCAGCAGCCTCATGCTCTGTGGGCTGAGAAAGAAGATTCAGCGCTGTGAGCAGCTGATCACTGAGTGGGCTGCACTGTTGAGTCTGACGGTAAGAAAATGGCAGAGTCACCTCACTGCTTTCTCCTCTAACCCAAAACTGAAGCCAGAGGTCACAAAACCCAATGTCTTCAGGGGCCAGGCAGATAAAGTAAATGGGTGCAATGGGTGAAGTGTAAGAAACACACAGCACTGTTAAACCATGTGATTCCACTTCTGATAAGGCATGGATTAAGAGGACATAACGAGAAGTGTGATGATACACGGCGATGGATGCTCTGCCTTCTCACTGGGGAGACTGTGGTCGGGGAGGAGGGACAGTGAGAAATGAGTGACCACAGGGCCATCACTGAAAGGTAGTGATGACTCTTCGGCGCCAGAAAATCACGGCCATGTGGGAATGTGAGCCCACTGTTACCAGATCTTCCGAGTTTTTCAGACAAAGCCAGGAATAGATCTTTGTGGCACTTAGCAATTTTAAATGTGAGCAAAACAAACAAAAAGTCATGTAATGTTTAATCTACCCTTCAGGCAAAATAAAAGTATAAGTTAGACTTATACTTTTTTGCATCTAGAAATGCAGAATCAAATAATTTGGGCTCCAGGAGGTACCCGCTTTAAGGACAAGAAACCCTAATCCTAGTTCAGCCTCTAGGTGGTCTGATTGCTAAATTAAACGAGGCAAGAGAGGTTTCTTGGGCTCATACACCCTTTGGGCCCAACAGGCTTCAGTGTCCTGCTAAGGGCTACAGATGCCCTCTGTTTCTGAAGGTAAAGTCTTCTAAGGAATGCCAAGTCCCCGGTCGCTCCAGGCTTTCCTTCCATCGGCTTTGGGACCACTCCAACTCCCCACGTCACCTCCCAGACCTGCTCTATTCTTAGCATAATTCCTGCAACTGTAGTACAAGGTGCTGCCTTGTCAGGAGACACGAATGAGACTCCTCCCCCTGATTTCTGACACTGTTGAAATGCACTGACTCTTGGCCCATGTCACAGGACTCTGAGCTACTCACCAGCTCCCCCAAATACCACGCCACAGAATTTGTACCACCTGTTCCTCAAATTTCTAACTCCAGAAACCAGAGTATATTTCAATGAGGAAAATAAAGCAAAAGACTAACCAAATTACCCATCCCTGACATCTCCTTCACTGAAATATCCAGTCGGTGTGAAATATTTCTCTATATAAATCACACAAATGGTCAGGTTTAATCCTAATGTGTCAAGTGCTGGACAGTTGCATACTGCTTAGTAACTCGGTGGACCTAAAGAGAGGAATACTAACTCTGGCAATTTCCCCGGATTATGGCCATCTATAACGCACCACCTCCAACTAATAGCCTCACCGCCCTTCAGGGCAAGGCGACTCGTGTGTACTTACTACCACCACACTTTGACAACTCACAAAGGATCCTCCTCATCCCCACTGATATAAGGCTCTTCCTCAAAGGGCTGTGGTCAAAGAGTCACCATCTATATAACTTCTTTATTAGTAGCCAGAGTTAGAGAGGCATGAACTTGAGATGGGGGTCGAGAGACGATATCAAATAAGGAAAAACATCACTGAAATATAATCTGTAGAGGAACAGCTGCTGATTCACATAAATTTAGGGGGACTTTGAGGTAATGGGACAGAAATGAAAAAACAGGTTGTGTTTTTAGGTAGCAGAAGAGAGCTCCAAGGGAATGAGAGACAATAGCTTCATGGAATGTACTTCCTCAGCCCTGGGGTGGGAGGTTATCTTTGGGCTCCAGGAGGCATGGGGGGCTTTATTTAGTTCTTCAAGAATGAAGATAAGAGGAAAATAGCCTCTTCAGGAAAAAGGAAAAAAAAAAAAAAAAAAAAAAGGAGGAAAAACCTGAATGTTCCTTTATAAGCATCTTAAAGGAGCTCCAAGCCAACTGGCCACCCATGAGATTTGGCCACTCTTGCCCTGCTCTCCAAACAAACAGGCACTACTCCAGAGGAAGGTCTGGTGAGGGAGGTGCCGGCACAGTGATGAGGGGGGCAGGATGGGAAAACCATTGCATTTCCTCCGACGGAGAGCCAGGCCTCTGCAGACATCCTGCTCACCCCTCCTGCCAGCCTGTGAACTGCTGGCTGAGCTGGGGAACCCTGAGGCTTTCAGGGCTTTTATCGTATTAGAAGCATTTTTCTCATCATAACCGAGACCTTTAGTAGTGCATTAAAAAGATGGTTAATTTTCTTAAGCTTCCTTTTAAACACAGAAATAGGATTAGAAGGCTAACACGCTCAGATGCAAGCCCATTATTTGATTATGTCTAAACCTAATCCTGCCTTCACCTTGGCCTGCAGAGTCTCCATTTTGGGGTTTATTGGTTGATAATGCCAGGGCTGTCAGATACTATTACTTGCGTAGAATCTGCTGCTACGTGCTCTTTCTTCCACTATCAAATGCTGAAGGTTTGAAATTGAATTATAGGATAAGTTCTCAAAGCCTCACCAACTTTTAGACCTTTGTACCTATTTTCAAAAAAGAAAGGATGGTTCAGGGCCCCCAAAGAATGGGAACTCTCTTCAGCAAATTCATTTCTAACAGTGCTTCGAAGGAAAGCCTTATAACTCACCTTCCCTCCACTAAGCAGGCTTTCTATTCTTTCACGTTACTAAGGATGAGGAAAAATAGTGTTGATGTTAATAAAAAGATCAGAAGCTACAGGTGACCATTCTCTATCCTATCACTTTTCCTATTATACTAAAATTATCTGTCACATCATCCCCTTGAGGGTAGGAGCTATGTCTTATTGATACCCAGTGACTATCACAGTTCTGGTGCTCATTAAATACTTATGTAACTGATCCAAGAATTCATAATCATCTCTTGGTTACATGCAAGGAGGCACCCTTATCTAATTGGTTTTCTCCATGGAGAAGTAAAAGGCATTCCCAGGCCTGAGTCTCTGCAAGAGAGGCTTGTGATAAACCCAAGAGCACACGACCAGCCCCTCCCCTCCACCCATTTCAGCATCTCCCTTCCCCATCCCAGCAGCTTCTAAGTTTCTTTACCTGTCGCAGTGGTTGCATTTAAAGGGCTTTGCACCTGTGTGTTTCCTGTAGTGCCTTGTGAGCTCATCGCTTCGTGCAAAACGCCACTCACACCCTTCCCATGAGCACTTATAAGGCTTCTCACCTGCAAGAAGAGATGGAATGACCATGGTCAGTGACAGGAACAAAACGGGCACACACCTGATCAGGGTCTGCTACCTATTCTACAGTCTTGGAAAAGGGCTGTGAAATCATTCTTAAGAGACTGCATTTCCTAACACAGTATGTCACATTTTTTTTTTTTTTTTTTGTCTCCTGGTGTTTTTCTTGTTGTTTTTTTTTTTTTTTGTCCCCTGGGGTTTTTTTTTTTTTTTGTCCCCTGGGGTTTTTTTTGTTGTTTTTTTATTTTTTTTTTTTTTTGTCCCCTGGGGTTTTTTTTGTTGTTTTTTTATTTTTTTTTTTTTTTTTTGTCTCCTGGTGTTTTTCTTGTTGTTATTTTATTTTATTTTATTTTTTAACCTTCAAAAGTGGTTTCACAAGATCTTCAAATCTGGAGCTGTCATTTCAGTTCCCAGAGTCAGAGCATTTCCTTCAACTGGTGAGGGATCAATTTTTATTTACTTTCTATTCCCTGGAGCACTTTGACCCCCTCCCGCCCGACTCCAAGCAGAAAGGAAATGTGCTATTTTCATCTGAACCACAAATGCTTCTAATTCTATTTTTCTCCAGAACCTACAGTAATTTACCATTTCAGCCTTTTTGGTCTTCTCCCCTCTCTTCCCTCCTACCACAAACTGTAGCCAGGCAGCTGACTGACAAGGCAAAGAGCTCAGGTCTCCCAGAACCCCAGTTCCTTCCGGTAAATGTGAGTGGATGGACAGTCACGAGAAAAGGCTACGATCTGAGAGTAAAACAAAAATCACTTAACGATTCCCGGCATTTATGTAAAATACAGTTGCAAAAGTCCTATTTAAGGAGCTCATCACTTAATGACTCCAGAGCGTTCATATTTGAGCGTGATACACATTATTACAAAATATTTTTAAAGTCAATTTGTAGAGCAAGGTTTCAGCCACGGTGAAGCTGCTTAGAAGCACGAAATTCGAGCTCTGTGCTCAAGTGACCTTTTCGCACAGTAAATACAGATGGAGGAATATGGAAGAGAAAGTACATGATTTTCCTAAGACCTTTTGTTTTAACCCATCAACGTCTGTCATCAAACATGACAAATACTTACCCTTCCAACTGTATGGTGGGCTGGTTCTAATAAGAAGAAAAATGATCTTTGAAATCATGAGAGTTACTGAGCCCTGTAACTGAGAGGCTGGTTAGCATAGCAGTCAACAGCTCTGAAGCCAACCTTCCTAGGCTCAACTTTTGGTTCCGCCCTTAACTGTCTATCCTTGGGCAAGTTAATCAACATCTCTGTGCCTCTGTTTTCTTGGAGATATGTACCTTAAAGGATTTAGAGAGGATAAATTAATATACATATGTACTATATATAAATTAGAACAACGCCTGGCATAGGTAAGTATTATAAACCGCTAAACCTGAAATTTCCAGATACACAAGTGCCAAAGTAGTACGGCTGCCCCATTATTTCTCCATTTTTAATAGCTCAACGTTCACTAGGCAGCACTTAAGGAGACATCGCCCAGGTACTATACTTGACCCACTTTCTTCTTTCCACCTTTTCCCTTCCCTTTGAACCTAACTACAAAGCATTCACAATTCTTTATTTGTATCACCTAGAATTGAACCAAACATGATTGAAAAATTTCATTTCATTAAATTGGTGCCCTAGTGGGCTGCTGCTCTGTAAAACCCATGGAGAAGAGCAATGAGAAACACAGGCATTTCTTTTCAATCGAACCAAGAGGACATGAAGGAGGGCCAGAAGCGCAGGAGGAAACCCACTCAGTTTTGGAAACCAGAAAAAAAAAAAAAAAAAAGAATCACTGAGCGGTGTTAAAAGTTCACCTTCTGGATACTTAAAAGTTTTGGAAACAAAAAAAAAAAAAAAAAAAAAGAATCACTGAGCGGTGTTAAAAGTTCACCTTCTGGATACTTAAAGCCACAATTTTGGAAAAGTGCGCTTGCTGCAGAGAAGGTGAAGAGTGGAGGGGTCAAGTCAGCTTTGGAGTTAGCACACCTGGGATCTTATTCATTCTTTGCAGACACCAGGCCTCAGGGTCCTTATCTGTCAAGTGGGGATGAGATAGATGCCTGTGTTTATCGTGAGGCTTACATAAGTTGTTGTGTATAAGGCATTTCCAGAGCCTGGCACAAGGTAAATGTTCAATTAATCTGAACCCCCTTTCCTCCCCGTTCGCCGATATTCTCAGAGGCTGCTGAGGAGACAGGTCTAACTGGCCGTCAGTACGAACTTCCAGGGTTCAGGCTCCAGACAAGCTGGGTCTGGAGTCACTCTGGGCAAACTAAATATTGGAAAACAGAGAGTCTTTTTAAGTTTTAAGCATTTTCTCAGTATACTGATGGAGAATGGACCAGAAAAACTGCGCTCTTTAGATCTGCTCTGAATGAGTGGGATGCTGAAGGGGAAATAAGAGACCCAAGTAGGAGAGAGAAGTGCCCTCTCAGAGAGGCCTGTTGGCATCATTTACTTAATGTTATTGATCACCCACGAGGCTCTGTTACTTCAAAGAAATCTGACACAAACAACAACAGGAAACGGAGAATGAGGCACCAAAGACTTCAGAAATTCAAAATACCTTCCACCCTCAAAGGCCTTCAAATGAAAGTAAAATTGGAGGGTCCTGGAACCTTGGGTACCAAGCGTACCCCAAATGCAACAAGGCATCTGGAAATCCCATGACATTCTACAGCAACAAGCAGAGACATCCAGTCCCCAAAATCAATCCCACAATCGAACAGACCCGTCCATCACAGGCAACCACATTCTGAAGGACACCACAAGGACAGAGAAAATGATTAAAGTAGATGTCTTTGGGTATTTTTTTTAAAAATTTCAAAGTGTTTGCTTTTCCCCTTTCTGAATTTTTTTTAACCAGTTTTGTTCTGTTCTATTCTGACAAATAATATCAAGGATTTAGTTATTTCCCAGAAAATAATGTAGATGCTCTGTTAATTCCTGGCACAAACCAACCATCCTCTTCCCAGTAGCTATTTCAGTGTCCTTCCAGTGGCTGCGTCCCTTTTGCCACTGCACAGACAGAAACTACAAACAGCTTGATTTAGCTCTGAATCGTGTCACCTAACATTGTTTCCTGCTTGCAGCAGGTGCTAATATACAGAATAACACCAAGGACAAGACCCTCTGTGCCCTGCTAGCTTAGCCAAGTTATGCTACAGTGATTCATTAAGTTATTTTTCTAGCTCCTGATTAATTGACCTACTAGTTGCCGTTTCCGCAAATACTCACTAATAAGAAATTTAAAATAACCAAGAAAGAACTCAGCCAAATGAAGGAGTAGTGCCTGAAACAGGGAGAGTTCAGAAATCAGAGGGACAGGAAAAATACACAGAATTGGGAATACAATTTCCTATCTAAAGCTCACAAATAGTGTGGTTAGGCTGGCCTAGTTTCTGGGTTCTGTACCCACTTCCACAAACTAATATCTACTCTCAAGTCAGTGAAATTCTTCTGTCAGTACTTTGCATAGCCAAGATTACATCCCCCAGACACCAACACCTGACTGCTGGATCTTGGGGGCAGAACAACCTACACCCACAATGCATTAGTTTTTATCCTAACACCGTACCTGAGGGTTTCTGCTCATTTTATGAAAGGCTTGGGTTTCCTTCTTTAGAAAAGAACGGCTTTCTTTATAAAAGAAAACAAAGTCTTTTAGAAAAAAAAGACAGGGGGCGAAAGGGGTGTGGGAGAAAGGAAGGAAGGAAGGAAGGAAGGAAGGAAGGAAGGGAGGGAAGGAGAGGAAGAGGGAGGGAGGGAGGGAGGGAGGGAGGGGGAAAGAAAGAAAAGAAAAAGGCAGTTCAGTAATAACTGAACAGATTTCATGCAAAATCAGCTCATCTGCCTCACCCTCCCTTCTCTCCTTGCTCCACTCCAGGTCCTATTCCTGGGTATAAAACAGAAAATGTCATACCCCTGCCCCACGCTACACTTGCGGCACCTAGAATGCCCAGCATTTGGCTCACTGCATCTCAAGAGTGAACAAAAATGTTCGAGAGGTCTCTGTGAGACAGGCAAACGGGAGACAGCCTTCAAACATCAGGACTCAAGTCCCGAAGGAGTGCGTGAATGAAGGCAAGCACGTGACAAAGAGGATGTACAGGAGAGCATGACAGTGCCTGCACGGTTCACAGGGCCCACAGTAGAAGACGCTCTT